TTGAACATATTTTAATTTACCACTCTTTTTTAATTCTAGTGCCTTGATTTTCCTAGCTAAAGATGCAAACTTGGCTTGGAGGTCATGATCTTCCCTAAGGTTGTATATACCTCTACTAGATGTATGAGGTAAAGTTATACCCAGTGTTTCATAAGTGCCTGTAGTGTTCTAATTTTATGTATTTTTAGATACCAAGTCTAGGTACTCTATTACTTCATCAAGGTCATTATCGTCAAGAGTTTCATTGCATATCAATTCAACCATTTGCCTATTTTTATGTGTCAATCCTTTCATAAAAATGTGAAACCAATCTCTATGTTTCAAAACCATGATGAGGGCAAGTATTAAATAAGTCTTGATACATATCCCAATATTGGTAAAATGTTTCTCTTGGTTTTTGAGTGAAAGTGATGATTTATCTTTTAAAATAGTATGTTCTTTGAGAATGGAAAAACTTCTTCAAAAACTATGGTTGTATTTCATCCCAAGCACAAATGAATCGTGGTTTGAAATTTTATAGTCATGTTTTAGATTTATATCTTAATAAAAAGAAAAAAGCTTTAATCTAATGGTGTTTATGCTACAATTTAAATTATTGTAAGTGTTACAGATCTCCTTAAAATCCCTTAAATGTAAGTATGAATTTTCTAATTCTAAGCCATGAAAAGAAGGTAGAAGTTGAATAATGTCTAGGTTAAAATTAAAATGAGATGTATCAGGAGGGAAAACTATATATAAGGGTACACTTGTTCTTATGGGATTCATGTGGTCTCTAAGTGTTCTAACATGATTATTCTCATTATTCACATTATGAAGGATACCCAATAAAGTCTACCACTTAATATACGTGATCAAACTCTCATGTACGTATAGGAAGAGAATAAAATGGAAGAAAATAAAAAAGAAACAACAATTAGATAAAATAAAAGTGAGAAGAGAAAATAAAATAAACATTATAATTCCTATAATAATTTACCTTCCCAACAACGACGCTAAAAACATGACACAACCAAAAGATTGATGTTTTTTTTCCAAGTATAGAAATGTTGAAATAATAAATAGCCCCATAAAATTAGAGTCAAACCATAGGGAGGTTAACTGTATAATAATAATGATGATGATGATGAGGATGACAACTTTGAGATATAAGATTAATGAAAGGATTAAACAAGGATAAAATAATTGTTAAGGTTAGAGGATTCACTAATGGTATTTCAAACAAGTATAGTATAAAATCTTTTTATTACTCAACTGGAAACAACATATAAGGAAGGTTACAATCAGATTATAAATTATTAACATGATTACATTAGTTATCTTATTCGAATAATGCTAATACTTGTAACAACAAATCAATCTATTTTAACAAGTGTTCATGATTATAACTTATTTTAACAACAAATCAAATTTTTTTCTTAGCACAAGTGTGGGTTATACCATATGGTTGAGCTATGAAAGTGTCAAGTATTTGTTGTATCAAGTGTTATATAACATAAATCTAAATTAATCATTTAACAAGCAAAGTATTAAAAGTGAACAAGATAACAAATACAAAACATGTTAGTATCAAACATTAAGGTCCATATTGAGTTTATACTATACATATTCTTACAATATTAGTGTAACGTTTTCACCTTAACATGATAAACTTAGCTAAACATAATGAAAAAGAGAAACATAGATAAACAAGATAAGAATATAAATAAGATATAAGTTAACTAAGTAAAGGAAAGGAAAGGAAATGAAAAGCATAAACAAGAGATTAGTATAAGTAAAACTTAAGCATTACAACAAGAAAGAGGGAAAAAACATGATCTTGATTTGAAAATCAAGATGCCTAAATGCATGGAAAATGCCTCCTTTTATAGGCTAAAATTTAAAACTATTGATTTGATGACTAATTGTTGGGTGGGTGGCCATATCTTGACTTAGTGACAATCATTATTTTCTTGTTTGAATAAAATGTTATTGTTAATGTCAGAATTTAAACAAACTTTTCTCATGAAAGTTCTAGGAAATATTTTCAACATTTCAATAAAAAAATCAGTGCATTTGAACTTCTAGAACTCAAGATATGGGCTGAATATTGAACAGTGTCTAGGCTGCAAGACAGATTCTGACTTCTCTATTATTTCTAAGATTTGGACTTCCAAATAGCAGAATTGAGTTTTGAATTCCCATGAATGTTTTAGGCCTATGTTTTAGCTTTCTAGCCATTTAAACCAAATTGATATTTAAGATTTATAACTCTGGATATGACTCAATGACTGAACAATGTTTTAGTTTGGACTAAATTAGTATCTCTTTTCTAAGCTTCACCTTTTTTTTATCTTCTCAATTTCAGTAGTTGAACTCATTAATCAATCCTTTGATTTATGTGATAGACTTGCATTTAAGATAAATATTTATCATAAACTAAAGGTATCTTATAGTATCATACTTGTTATTATAAAACATGTTTCAGTTAAGAAGTTATTGATACTTTAAGTGCAAAATAATGATATAAATCTTGATAAAAATATATTTTTAAATACTAATCAGATATCACTTACGGAGAAAATATCAAATTTAAAACATCACATGGAGATGGAAAATGCAATCATCACATATATTTGTGCTTGTCGGATAAGGTTGAGTTCTCCTCTCAAGTTGAAGTTGATTAGTAGAGAAATAATAAGCTAAGTGACATCTCTTTTATATGTGTTATACATACGCCATCAAATTCTGTTATATAATTCAAGAGATTGAGGGAAAGAGATGACAAAAACAAAAGAATGACATAGCAACATTCTTCTCCACATCAAATCTTCAGTTCTGACCGCTCCTCAGTTAAAACAAGCCAAGGTGAATAGGAGAGCCGGTAGCACTAATCCAATCCCCTTGATAGAAAGGCTCAGCAGTCAATTTCATGGCCTCTTCATTATTAATGATATGATAGCCAGGCCACTTGATCCTTGCAGTTGTCTTTGCACCAGCTCCTTTATTGTTGTACTCTGCATAATACAGAGTTTTGAGTCCAAACTCTCCTTGCCATGGTAGCCATCCATCAGGGTGAATAAAATCACCAATTGTTGATTCCATGATAATAGTTCTTGAAAATTCTTTCCAGGGCCTTCCAAGGTAACTCCTGATCTTGGTCTTCACAGGAACCAAGTCCTTGTCTGGCTCGATGCGACAATTTTGAAGAACAATTCCTGTAGTTTCATGTCCGTCAACCCTACCCTGGGCCGTAATGAGATTTTGTTGGTTTTCCAATGGTTTCCGGACAGTAATAAGGCAGTTTTGGAAGATGGCAGCTGCATCTCCAAAGATGAAATCAACAGTGCCGGTAATGACACAGCTTCTGTAGAATTGGCGGTGTGTTTGTGCATACAAGGTATCTTGGTATCCTTCAAAACGACAGTTCAGGAATATTGCACGATCAGCTTGGACTCTGATAGCCACAGCCTGATGTTTCTCTGGACCTGCTGTGTTTCTGAATCCCATAGTTTTGCACAAAAATCCATCTCCTCACACCGCTGCAGAACGTATATTCCATGTTAAAATCCTGGACTAGGAGAAAGGAACTTGGAATGCAACTTCTAAGGCTGCAAAATTTGGTTCCAGTTTTTTATGTCATTTAGGCTGCTGATAAGAAGAATGAATCTAAGTAGTAATTTTTTTCTACTTTGATGAATTCAAATTGTATATTTAGCCAGATAATCTGGTAGCAATGCTATTCAGACATCATTCCGATGAACAAAAGATTTGCATAATGTAGTTGTTAGGGTCAGATTGTCGAAGTGATCAATATACCAAAAGTTGCAGTTCTGAAAGTTTGAACTCCGTCAGCAAAATTTTTGTTCCCTGTCACAATGGTCTTTTGTGATCCATCACCGTAGATAGTGATGTTCGCCATCTTCTTTGTTACTGTCACGGTCTCATCGTAAATTCCCTGTTTAACAAAGATAACATACCTGCATTACCATGAGAAAATATAAGCCATTTTTCACCCAAAATAAAGATGTTGGCTAAGAGCATAAAGCATTAACCGAAATGGTAGTTTAAGATATTTTTCAAAAGATGAATTATCATCAATTAACGTAATAGTTTCATATACCGATGTCGTAAAAATTGCATACCGTCCTTGATATTTTGCTGGCATGGCCGCCAATGCTTCGGAAATTGTTTTGAAGTCACCACTACCATCTTTTGCCACAGTAACATTTGGTTTTGGCTTGTCTTTACTAGCACCCTTCAATATTCTGCGATCCTCATTACTCATCCATCCAGGAAGGTCATCCTTGTTCAATGCGGGTGAATTGTCTTCCTTTGCCAGAAGCCGACGGTTAAGTGCTCCTGGAAAGGGAAAATTTTTCATGAATGAAGTTAATGATGAAACCATCGCAAGGGAATTGCTGGTGAACTCCTTGGATGCCTTAAATGTCTTTTCCATGTCAGATTTCAATTTTCCTTCAGGGAATCCATCAATGCAAGTTTGTTGGTAAGACATGACCGCACTCAGCCAATTGTTCAAGTCCGGGGCATTTTTAACAAGCTTTCCCAGATCATCACCAACATGGGCAACAGAGTCTTTCAATTCTTCTTTAGCATTCTCAACGAGTTCTAGACAATCTTCAAATGCAGCTTTCTCCCGTGGGTCGTCGAATTTGAAGGATGAGGCTTTCTTTAAAACCTTTTTTATCTCTTCGTCGGCTGCTTTGATTGCTATCTTGAGAAGATTTTTGGGTTGAGCCGAAGAAGGGTCCTTTTCCACTTCCTTCTCGAGGGTTTTTTGGCATGTCTCCTGGTAAGTGGTAGCATTACATACCGTTTTGATAACCCTGGTGACACGTGATATCGGTTTTGCGGATTCTTCAGGCTGAGGCACAGCTGATCCTCCATTGTTACCTGGGCTGCTCTTGTGACTAGAGACAAGGGCGAAAACTCCAGCACCAACTATAACAAAGAAAGCAATACCTGAAACTGCTGCAATGGCAATTTTCTTTCGAAGTTTTTGTTGCCTTTCTGATCTTCTTCTCTCGGATAGAAGATCAAAATCTTGGAAAACCATTTTGACAACAATATTTTTGAGGCAGAGATCTCTCTGCCTTAGAATTCAGCCAAGGCAGAGAGAAGAAGAGATGCGAAAGATGGAGAATGTGTTTTCTGCTATTCTTTTTCTTAATGTTGCAACAACATCGTTGGTTATGAAATTACAGATTATTGTCAAGTAAACGACAGAAGGGATCTGATCAGGAGAGTTTTAAGGTAATCTATTCGAAACTTGGTTACCTAAGGGTTTTACAAAAATAGTTGAAAGAGAATTTGTCCCTCATAACCGCAGTTCCCGCGAATTCTGCGGCCTTCAAATTTGCCAACACTGCCATATTGTATTTGCACTTCCATGCCATGTCTCTGTCTTTCTTGATTTGCAAATTGCAAGGAAATGATAATTTCAGTATCTAACATAGCATCCAATAGTTTCGCCCTTAAATATGTTGTCTCCCACTCGTGCATGGATCATGGCCTTGTTATCCTTTTATTTTATATTTTTACCTGCTATACTGGACATGCGTGTGTGTGTAAAGGGAAAAACTTACAGCAAGGAAAGATAATCCTGTGTATCCTTTCTCTCAACAATTCGTTAAGATTATATGCTAATAATAAATTAATACACAATCATATCTAAACTAGATAATAAATAAGTTATACTTGGTAATAACATTATAGTAAAGATCTTTAAGGAATTGCTTCAGTAACTTCTATAAAATTCCTCAAATTAGGTGCATACAAAGCTTATGTTATTTAATAAAACAATGATTGAAGATCGATTTCATCTTTAAGGAATCGCTAATTAACTCATTAAGAAAATTATGTCAGTGTATGTCCATAGAGGTGGTGATGGTGCTAGTAATTATATAACTAACAATTATATTAGATTATAATACATATGATCTTAGAATTCATGATTTAAATATTTAGAATAAATATCTAAAAAAAAGCCTTAAAAGAAAATATATTTGGATTTATAGTAAATCCCTTTAGAGATTGAAATATCGGGTATGAATGAATAGATGAAGAAAATCTTGTTTTTCTTTTAAACCCTTTTTAATTATTTGCGTCATCGTATTGTTATAGATAAAGAAAGGATTAATTTTCTTTCTAAAAAAATTAATCCCACCATATATCATAATTAAGTAAAAACTAAACATGACAGTTATAAACCATTTGTTTGATATAGTTTCTTTCATATAATATAATATTAGTCTTTATGTAATATAATTTGTGAATGATAATCACATAATCAGTACAACAATAATAATTTTATAAAATTAATTCATATCATCATCATTCTAATTCATGTATGTAAAAAAATATTAAAAATATTTTTTAAAAATAAATTTATAGTGTCAAATACATAATTATATGATATAATATCAACAATTGTATGTCATGTACTCATTCTTTTACATGATTGCTAAATATTTTCTCTCTTCTACGTTTCTCTCTTCTTTCGTTATTATCACCTTTGTCGGGTCTTTTATTTTTTTTGACCAAGATATAATTAACTTCAACTAGGATAGTGTCCTTACGAGGACTGCTGCCTGGATGATAGCCCCTTCTCAGAAAAAGGACAAGAAAGCAGTATTCTTGGAAATATCCTGTCGAAATATTGATGCGACAAATCGATTGAGGTGGGGTTTTTCTAAACTTTGTGCGTCAACAGACCTGCAATTAGCTTGAGACACGCTTCCCTTCATAATACATTAACAAGTTCCATAACATTGATGAATATTTTATTGAAGTAAAGTCTTGCAGCATTACCTCACAAACAGTGCCACTTCGATACAGAGTGCATTTGTAGATGAAAAACTACGGTCGCAGCCCATTACAAGAGCAAAACATGTTTACAATATTACATGCTAATTATAAAGATGAAGTGGGAGTCGAGGCTTTGCCACTGCAACAGTTGGGTACTTTCTCTGTGTTGCCAATCCAAAAACTTCATCTCGTTTCACATCTTCTGGTTTTATTCCAGGAGGCAATTCCCAAGTAAATCCGTGCAACATGTTAGCTAGGCTGACAAGAATCATCTTTGTCCCGAGGGGATAGCCAGGGCACATTCTTCTCCCAGAACCAAACGGCAACAACTCAAAGTTATGTCCTTTAATATCAATTCCTTTACCGAAGAACCTTTCTGGCCTGAAATCTTCAGGATCTTCCCACAGATCAGGGTCTCTACCCATACTCCATGTGTTAATGAAGATTCTAGTTCCTTTAGGGATGTCATAGCCACCAACTTTGCTATCTTGAAGGGCCAAATGGGGTGCAAGCATAACAGCAGATGGATGCATCCTCATCGCCTCTTTCATTATTGCTTCTATGTATGGAAGTTGAGGGATGTCTTTCTCTTCCACCCATCTTTCTCTTCCAACAACTCTGTCCAGCTCGTCGGTTACCCTTTTGAATAACTGGGGCTTTTTCAAGAGTTCTGACATTGACCAATCCCCCATTGTAGCAGCGGTATCTGTTCCTCCAGCAATCAGGTCCTAGTCATCAAAATGAAAAACAGTAAATATTTTAAGCCAATGGGGACTAAAGGGGAAGCATGTCTGAGATCCAAATGCAACAACTCTTGAACTTTGAGTAAAATAATGAAACAAAATAGCCAAGGCATCCGTCTCGCCCCTCTCCACTGACCAGAACTAGTGATTGACTACGCCTACTTTTACTCGCCTTTTCTTATTATCTTTTACTATTTTTAAATTTACAAAAATCTATAATATTGAACAAAATGAATTAACAAAAATCATTAATAATATATTTGTTCTTTCTAATGTTTTTTCCTCCAAACTCAGAAGCTTACGTACTAATAACGAGACTGAGAGAGTAATATGTATGTATCATCACAATCTATATTCTACTTTGGCTGTTCGGATGACAAAGTGAAGTCCTTTCTGTTTAGGGAAAAAAAAGGGAAATAAAGTGATCTATGAAGGAAAATGGAAAGGAAAAAATAGAAAATAGTTGAAAGAGTTAATTAAAAAAATATGAAATTACCTGTGTCAACCCCTTGATGTTGTCTCTAGTTAACTTAACTTCAAGCTCGGGGTCATCAGCAAGCTGCAAGAGCAGATCCACCATGTCTTTCGGCTGCCAGTTTTTGGTTGTTTTTCTCCTAACGTTGTGTTCATCAATGACATGGTCATGAAACTTATCAAATCTTACCTTGAGCTTTTTCATTCTCTTCACATACCCCTGCAAGTCCAAGAAATCTAGCCACGGGATCCAGTCCCCAATGTTCAACACACCATTAAGCAAGAACAACTCATCTAGCATTTCCTGAAATTCCTCAAGGGTAACTATTTCTTTTTCGGATTCTGATGCACTGAAGTACTTCTTGCCCAACACAATCCTGCTAATAATGCTAAGAGTGTAATGAGAGAGATAATCTTTAAGCTCAATAGACTTACCACAGTTGCGATATAGTCGTCTTGTAAATTCACGCATCTCCTCCACTCGCATATACTCATAGGACTCCAGTCTTTTAGCACTAAACAGCTCAGTGAGGTAAATTTTACGACCTTGGCGCCAGTAAGGTCCATAGGGTGCCCAAGCAAGATCGGAATACTCATAAGTTGTGTACTTGCCAGCAGCAGTTTGAGGTCTGCTAGCAAACATGTGATCGTAAGTCTTCAAAATTTGCTTTGCCATGTCCAGCGATGAGGTAACTATAACTGGATAGGACCCAAAATAGAGCTGCATAGTTTTTCCATACTTGAGAGACAATTGGTGAAGAGATTGGTGAGGGAGAGGACCCAGAAGGTTGAAGTTGCCAATAATTGGCCATGGTTTAGGACCTGGCGGAAGTTTCAATGGGTTAAGCCAGGATTTAAAAAATTTTGGGAGGTAAAGAAGGGCAAAAAGCCATGCTACTACGAGAACAATCAACGAGAAAGCATCCATTGGCGAGATGAAACTCGTGGTTGCAGTAGATCGCAGTGTTGCTGGAAATTTGGTGCGGATTTTGCATGGTTTTATAGACAAGTTTTGCACTTACAACTGGGAATGGGGGGTCCTTACAACTGAGACACGACAACTAATTATTTTCTAGTTCCTTTTTCTTGTTTAGCTTAAAAAATGAAAACATTTTGCTATTTAGAGTGTTTCAGACCAAGAAAAAACCCAAATTTTTAGTATGATTTACTTCTTGTTCAAGGTGTTAGAGCATCTTATACCGGTTAATTTAATTTACAAGAATATTAACTATTATTGTTTTGAGATACTCGAACTATCAAGTGTACAATCATTTTCTAAGCATGTTTAAGTAGCAATGAGAACATTTTATGATATACAATTACTTCTAACTTCTTATGATATGCATTTGCTTTTACATAATCAAGAAATTTGGAGTTCAAACTTCAGTTATTAAAAAAAAAAAACACATAAAAACTGCCGAAATTCTGCTCTACGGGACAAAATTATCATTAGATTTGAGATGAATGGGAAAAAAATTCAGCAGATAATGAGTGGATGCAAAAAGTTACAAATTCATATCATCAACTGTGCGAACTTGGGTATATTTTTATTTGTATTCTGGTAGTGATGCTTCAACATCTACTGATTTTAATCTGTACTTCGGTTTTCAGTACGGACATGCCGCTGGGAGTAGTTTCACTTTGTTCATGGAAATATATGGGAGTGTGTGTCTGTGTGTCTGTCTGTATGTATGTATCTGACACTGTCCGTCACCATTTTTGCAGTCGGATTTGATTGAAAAGGGCATACTAATCTGATTCAACAACCCCACTCGTGGCCGCACTCGCAAGAGTTTTATATGACAGAAAAACTCATCGTTTTCTTTATTTGATAATGTTTTGAATGTTTTTTAAATAATTTTTTATTTAAAAGTATATTAAAATAATAATTTTTTATATTAATTCATTAAAATAATCTAAAATTATATATAAAAAATTGATTTGAAGCTAAAACATTTTAAAAACACGATTGGATGGAACCTTAGTGTGTTTTTATTAAGAAAAATAGGTTTAAAAATATGTGTGTCATGAT